GGATTGATTCAGTGACTGGGTTAATCGGGATGGGTGTGTCAGAGGCAATGAGATTGGCACGGGATAGGGCACGGTTTAGGGCTGTTGTGCATAGGGTCGCTATGAGTTGCAAACAACTGGACGACACATAACAACAACAACAACAACAACAACAACCTTTTTATGGCAGAGAAAGATGGAAATATATGGTAATATCATGAGCATATGTGGTGCTGTGGCAGAGGATTGAGTAAACTAGAGTTAAGTCTTACAGTGCATCTTGCAGCAGTGATCTATTTGCTTTGACACAAATTCTTTATGACTGCTAAGGGTTTTCTGGATTTGGTTAAGATGATATTAAGTTTAGGCTCTTCACACCTCTTATATAACATTTCATAAATGGTACCATTTAGGAAAATCTAGAAAGAAAAATGGAAATGCCTATTAAGTTCAATTTTTAGATTTTTAATTGGATATTTGATATCTCTGTTATTCTTTTTCCCCCCTGAATTACAACATTTTCCCCTTTTGTTTTTGAAAAACCAGTTTGATTGTGCAAGCCACAGATAAAGGGATGCCTCAACTTTCTGCTACAAGTATTGTCAAGATACAGGTGACAGATATAAATGACAATGCCCCAGTCTTTCTTCCCTTCAAAGCAGTGGAAATGCCAGAAAGTAAGTATGGAAATTTAAGATAGTGGTGTTTGGGGTTTTTATAATTTTTTAGAAGTATTATTATTGTGTGTGTGTATAGAATCAAGTCGGATTTGACTGGCATAGGAGGAGATTGCCCCTCCTTCTCCAGAAGAGGATCTGGTCGATTTGAACCACGTACCTCTGGGACTGCAGTGTGGCTTCTTGCTATTAGGTCACCAGCACAATAGTGGTTTTGATTAACATGTATATATCATCTTTTATTTTTTCAGACAGTGTATTACAAAGTAATACTAATCTTCAACCTACAATTTACCTGTTAGCTTGTCCTCAAGTGCTTGTTTGTGTGTTGTTTGATGGTAGAAACTGCCACTAGTATTTAAAATACAAGAGAAATCAGCTATGGCAGACAAACTAAGACAGACTAATGCAAGACTGGCCATCCACTTCTGAAATAATGACCCAGTGGAAACTTTGTGAATGTTGTTGTTGGTATGTGCCATCGAGTTGTTTGCGACTCATAGCGACCCTATGTACAAGAGCCCTAAATCCTGATCTATCCTGTGCCAACCTTGCTTTCTGAATAGTAAAAGAATATTGCCTGTTCCAGGGCCCAAAGACGAACTACTTAGACATTAAGGCTCTCAAAGTACTGTAGTGCTGTCTCTTCAAAGTAAAATGTACTTTAATGATGTGGGTAATGTACAGCTTTCACCCAAGGAAGAATGTTTATTTTTTTATGAGAAATGGCTCAAAATGATGAGAAATAGGTGCAGAAAAATCCATAAAAATTTGAAACATGGAACAGAAAAAATGGCTTTAAAAATTGGAGGTTATCTAAAACAGATTGATATCTTATTAGTGATCTAATATGGACTGATATTAGCCATTGGATCAAATCATGGGAATGACAAATGGAAGAATGGCAGCCCATTCTTCTTCAAATGTTCCTTGAAAGTACATTTCAAGATCTGTTCTAAAAGAAAATATTCTCCATGATTGTGTAATATCTGTACACATAGAGGAAGACCTGATAATAAGAAAAAATTTTCGAATTTATATACCAATTTCTGCAATCTGAAATTAATCAAACATGAGATGAAGATGTGTCAATAGTAAGTGGTGATTGTTGTTGTTGTTGTTGATTGCCTTCAAGTCGAACACAACTCATAGCGACACTATGAACAAAAGGCCTGAAGCCATTCTACAACTATCAACATTGGTCAACATTCATAGAGTTTCCAGAGGCATGTTATTTAGGAAGTGGATGCCATTCCTGCTTCCACACCTGTCATAGTATGTTGTTGTTATGTGCCATTGAATCACCTGTGATGTATAGTGACCCTATCTATGTACAGCAGCTCTGAATCCTTCCCTGTCCTGAGCCAGTCTCACTAATTCTGACACACCCCATCGGCCAGTTGCTTTATCAGTCCATCTCATCCGGAGTCTCCCTCTCCTGTGCTGTCTGTCCAGCCTTCCAAATATGATGTCTTTCTCCAAGCCGATCTCTCCTGGCCACATGCCCAAAGTAAGTGAGGAGGCGCTTCAAAATCCTAGCCTCCAAGGAAAGACTTGGTTTCACCCTCTCCAAGACCTATTTGTTTTCTTGGCAGTTCATGGTATGTTCAAGACTTTTCTCCAGCACCACAACTTGAAGACATCTATTCTTCTGTCATCCTTAGTCATTGTCCAATCCTCTGAATCATAACAAGTAATTGAGAAGACCATGGCCTGGATTAGGCGCACCTTTGTATCTGATATCGTTGCTCTTCAGCACTCTGGGGAGCAGATTTTCCCAATGCAATTCATCTTTTAATTTCCTGACTGCTGGTGCTAAGAGTGTTGATTGTGGAGCCGAGCAAGTTGTAATTGTTAACAACCTCATACTTTTCTCCATCTAATAGGTGCTGCCATTTGTCTCAGTGGTAAGAATCTTTGTCTTCTTGATGTTGAGCTTCAATCCATATTGAAGACTACCATCCTTGACCTTTTGCAGCAAATGCTTCAGGTCCTCCTCAGTTTCAGCAAGCAAGGTTGTGTCATCTGCATATCATAGGTTGTTAATGAATCTTCCTCCAGTGCTGATGCCACACTCCTCCTCATAAAGCCCTGCTTCCTGAATGATCTGCTCTACATACAGATTGAAAAGGTACAGGGACAGGATGCATTCCTAATGCACTCCTTTCCTGGTATTGAACCATGTAGTGTTTCCTTGCTCTGTTCTGAGGACTGCATCTTGGTCCAAGTATAGGTTTCATATAAGCACAATCAAGTGTTCTCAAATTCCCATTTTCCTCAAGGTTAGCCACAATTTATTGTGATCCACACAGTCAAATGCCTTTGCATAGTCAATGAAACACAGATAGACATTCTTCTGATACTCTCTGCTTTCTGCCAAGATGCATCTGATATTAGGAGTAATGTCCTTAGTGCCACAGTCCCTAGTGCTTCTAAACTCAGCCTATGTTTTTGTGGTGTGGTTTTTTTTTTTTTTTTTTGTAGTTCTCTGTCAATGTACTGTTCAAGTCTTTTCTGGATAATATTCATCTGGATTTTGCTAGTGTGTGATATTAGTGATGTTGTTGTTATGTGCCACTGAGTAACTTGCGACTCATAGAGACTCTATGTGCAAGAGCCCTAAACCCTGCTCTATCCTATGCCAATCTCATTGTCTTTGACACACCTACTCCTTCTACCCCAATCACTGAACTGATCTATCTCATTGAAGGTCTTCCTTTCCTGCGCTGTCCCTTCACTCTTCCAAACATGATGTTCCTCTCTAAGATCTCCTCCTCACAACATGCCCAAAGTATATCAGACAAAGCTTCAGAATCAATAACTCCAGGGAGCGTCCTGGCTTCACCCTCTCTAGGAAAAGCCTGTTTGTTTTCCTACCTGCCTATGGCATATTGAACACTCTTCTCCAGCACCACAGCTCAAAGGCATCAGTTCTCTTTCTATCATCCCTATTCACTGTCCAACTCTCTGATGCATAGCAAGCAAATGCAAAGACTATAGCCCGGATCAGGCACATCTTAGTCTCCATCCTGACATTGTTGCTCTTCAGTACTCTGGAGAGGTCCCTGAAAACTGGCAATGCAATTCATCTCTTGATTTCCTGGCTCCTGGCACCAAGAGTGTTGACTGTGGAGCCAAGCAATCTAAAACTGTTAACTATCTCAATCTCTTCACCATCCATACTGATGCTGCCAATCAGCGCAGAGGTGAGAATCTTTGTTTTCTTGATGTTGAGCTTCAATCCGTATTGAAGAATGCAGTCCTTAACCTTCTGCAGCAAGTGCTTCAGGTCCTCCTCAGTTTCAGCAAGCAGGGTTGTATCATCTGCATAACTCAAGTTGTTGATGAATCTTCCTCTAATCCCAATGCCACATTCCTCCTTGTACAGCTCAGCACCCCGGATGATCTGTTCTGCATACAGATTGAAAAGGTACGGAGACAGAATACATCCCTTGCAGACCCCCTTCTTGATTTTGAACTCTGCAGTGTCTCCTTCCTCTCTTCTGACGACTAACTCTTGGTCCAAGGATAGGTTTCACATAAGCGTAGTCAAATGTTCAGGAATTCCCATTCTTCTGAGTCAGCCACAACTTGTGATCCACACAGTCAAAAACCTTTTCATAGTCAATGAAGCACATATAGACATTCCTCTGGTACTCTCTGCTTTCTGCCAAGATCCATCTAACATTAGCTATAATATCCCTAGTACCACAACCTCTTCTAAACCCAGCCTGCACATCTGGAAGTTCTCTGTTGACCTGTTACTCCAGTCATTTTTGGATAATTTTCAGCAGAATCTTGCTTGCATGTGATATTAATGATATTGTTTGATAATTTCCAGACTCTTTCAGGTCACCTGTCTTTGGAATGGGAACACATATTGATTTCTTCCTATCAATTGGCCAGCTGTCTGTCCTCCAGATTTCTTGGCACAACTTGCTGAGCACATGCAGGGCAGGGCAGCATCTGTTTGCTGAGATATGTCAGTTTGTATTCCATCAATTCCTAGGGCTTTATATTTTTAGCCAAGTCCTTCAGAGCAGCCTGCACTTCCTCCTTCATCACCATTGCCTCTTGCTCATATGTTGTTTCTTGAAATTCTTCTGTGTTAGCCAAATTTATTTTGGTATAATGCTTCTGTATACTCCTTCCATCTGCTTTTAATGCTTCTTGAAGCTTTCAGTATCCTGCCCATAGCATCCTAAAGCATTGCAAATCTTGCCTTGAATTTATTTTTTTACTCTTTCAGCTTAAGAAATACTGAGTGAGTTTGGCCCTCTTGATTTTCTGATTCCAGCTCCTTGCAGATTTCATTATAATATGTTGCCTTGTCTTCCTGAGCAGCCCTTTGAAATGTTCTATTAAGCTCCTTAACTTCTGGATTTCTTCACTTTGCTTTGGCTTCTCGGTGCTCTAGTGCAATATTCAGAGTCTCCTTTGACATCCATTTTGGTCTTCTTCCTTCTTAGTAATGACTTTTTGCTTTCTTCATGAATGATATTCTTGATGTTTTCCCACAGATTATCTGGTCTTCGTTCATTAGTGTTCAAGGCTTCAGACCTATTCCTGAGTTGGTTTTTAAATTCATGGGAAGTAGACTTAAGGTCATATTTTTATTTCTGTGGATGTTATTCAACCTTCTTTAGTTTTAATATGAACTTACAAATGAGCAGTTGATGGTCTTTTCCACAAGCAGCACCTGGCCAAGTTTTTCTGATGATACTGATCTTCTCCAGTGGTTCCTTCCACAGATCTGATCAGTCTGATTCCTCTGCATCCCATCAGGTGAAATATATGTGTATAGCCTGCATTTATGTTTCTTATTTTAAAAAGTGGTTATTGGAATGCAAAATTTGCAAATAAAAAAGGACTATTGATGGTCGGAAAAATGCAGCTTTCACGGTAAAAGTAAGGCCTGAGAGCATATGATAGAATTTTGTCTAACAAGTTACTCATTACAAATACCTTTTAAAAATACAAAAATACTTTATTAATCAAAC